GTGTAGTGCCTGCATGTAAGTGCACCCATGTCATACATTCCTGCAGAGGTCAGAAGAGGGTGTCAGATTTCCCTGGAACTGGAGTAATGGACAGTTGTTAGCCACCATGTGAATACTGGGAATCAAACCTGGGTCCTCTGCAAGAGCCATCTCTCCAGCCCCAGATGACATTTCATGTGTCACCTCAGGTACTATCTGCACCACTTGTCTCCATTGAGGCCACTTGTTCCATCTCAGGTGTCACTGTGGCAAGCCATTCTGGGTGGGTTCCAGCCAGTGTCTCTTCATGCAGAACCACTAGGAACTCACACATGTATACCACAAGTTCAGGTGGCTAGTGTCCACTCAGCACTCACCTTTAGTTTTGGGAAGCGGAAACCAATAGATAAATTTCCTCTGGAAGAGGATCTTGAGGCAGGTGTTCCTGCACTCTCTCAGGTACTTCAAGAGGAGGCATCCATCCATCACACATGCTCCTGCATGGCTGCTAATCCTACTTCCCTCCCTTGGACCTTCCTCCTCCCACTTCTGCTTCCCTGGATTCAGTCCTTACTTAAGTGGTAGCTTGTAAACATCACTTTCCAGGGAACCTAGGCTAAAGCCTGGTTAGTATCACAGCTATGTGATCTAGTTGGGGTTAAATATAAAAATTTTGGATCCTATTAGAGGTTCAACCTATGTATCATCTGTGCCCCTCCCTCATGCCCCCACCACCCCATGGCACTGAGCTGTTGATTTTGGTATCCTCAACACTGAGTGAAAAGTTTGAGGTTTTTTTTCACAACCTGTTCCTATTCTTTTCTATAAGGCTAATCACACTGGAGGATGCTCTCAGCTCTTCTGTGTGTCATTCTGAACTTGGTATCTCTTTTTTCAGGCTGTGGATATGATAACTCAGTGTCATCTTCTTCAGATTGATTGCTTTTTTTTTTTTTTTCAGTATTTTTAAGACAGCTCCCTGTAGACCCAGCTGTCCTAGAACTCACTATGTAGACCAGGCTGGCCTCAAACTCACAAAGATCCGCCTGCCTCTGCCTCCCAAGTGCTGGGACTAAGGGCTTATGCCACCACGCCTAGCCGATTGTTTTCTTTTTTAAAAGCTTCTGCAGAACTCAAAAGAGCAAAAAGACTCAGTTACAGGCTTCTGTAACCGAGCAGAAAATGGTCTCCAAAATACTTATTTCCTATTTCCTGGACTCTGAGCATGTTTCCTCATTTCAAAATGCCTTTGCCAGTGTGATTACATTAAGGTCCTGAGGTGGGGATGGGTCTGGATTATCTGTGGGGGCCTCAGTGCAATCATGTACCCCTTCTTACAAAACAGATGCAATTCACAGGTACATAGCAAGCAATGCCATGTGGAGCTGAGAGAGATGTGATGTTGGCTTTGTACTGCAATGATGTGGCCGAAAACCTAGGACCGCTGGCAGCCACCAGAAGCTGGAGGAACAAATCCTCCCAGATCTCTTAAAGGAGCTCAGCCTTGATGGCACCTTGATTTTGAGTTAGTATGTTGCTAAGAGACCCAAGGACATTGTGAGTTTTAGCCAAGAAACTGGCTACTTTTCTTTGGGGTCTTATTTCCCTAACTGCCTTGCCAATTAAGCTTACCTCCTATTCTTATCACACCATCTTCTGAAGAGGTTACCCAACTCGCAGATAGGGAATCAGGACGCAGACCACTCTGACTTCTTCCATGCTGAACAGGGATGCAGGGTGAGGCAATTGGAGTACTCCTTCAGTGGGTCTATCTAAAAGACTCCCAAATTGCATAAGTCTTATCTGTAGGGGGAAAAGAAAATCCTTGACTGGTGAATAGCAGATGTGAAGGAGAAGTAAAGGCTAGAGTAATTAGCACTACAAGTTCTAGACGGGAAACTAGAAAAAAGTCAGAACAGGGCAGTTTTCAAATGTTCATATGAGA